AGATTGAAGTTGTTAAAGATTTCATTACTTAGTTCCACAATCAACACCAATGGAAGCAGCAGTCAGGATATCAGATGATGTGTTGCACTGGGCATATCTGCTGCAAAGACTTCTTTAAAGTGCTGAAGAGCACAGATGTCTCTTTGAAGACTAAGGTATGCCTAACCCAACTCAGTCACCTCATATGCATGTGAGAGCTGGACAATGAATAAGGAAGACTGGAGAAGAGTTGATGCTTTTGAGTTGTGATGTTGGTGAAGAATACTGAAAGTACCACGGACTGCTAAGATACCTAACAAATCTGTCCCAGAAGATGTGCAGCCAGAATGCTCCTTGGAAGCGAGAATGGCCAGACTTCGTCTCACCTACTTTGGTCATGTTAGAAGGGGCCATTCCCTGAAGAAGGATCTCTTGCTTGGTAAGATGGGGGGTCAGTGAAGAGGAAGGCCCTCAACAAGATGGATTGACAAACTGGCTGCAGCGATGGGCTCAGGTATAGTAAGGATTGTGAGGCTGGCACGGGACTGGGCAGTGTTTCGTCTGTTGTACATAGGGTCGCTATGAGTCGCAGCCAACTTGATGGCACCTAACACCACCCTCCCCACCCCCACAAGGGTGCCATGAACCTTATTTGCATTATTAGCAAGCTGTCCAATCCCCTTGTTGGGCCATAAGCACCTTGTTTACATAATCCCACCCAAATAGTTGGTGGTTGTTACAAGACCATGCTGAGAAAGGCCATATAAAAGTGGTTGATTGCATCACATAGCTGGTTTTTTATGTAAAATTGTTTTTGAAACCCTCCAGTTAATATACCCTGATTCTGACATTTTTTTCTCAAGTGATTATTTTGTGTTCTCTGTAAATGATAACATCCGCATGCAGTAGTAATTTTATTTCCTTCTTTCTGATGGCTGTATGCCTTAATTGTCTCTTAATGCTTTGGCTAGAACTTCCAGAACAATGTTAAGTAAGAACAATAATGGCACACAACCTTGTACTGACCCAGGTATTGATAGGATGCCATTACCAATGTGTTTACCAGAGTATGCTCCTAAAAAATCAAAACAAAACCCACTGCCATCAAGTCAGTTCCAACTCATAGGATTCCTATTGGGTTTCCAAGGCTGTAAATATTTACAGAAGTAGATTGCCTCATCTTCCTCCTGTCTCCCCACCTGGTGGGTTTGAACCATTGACCTTCTGGTTGGCAGCCACGTACCTTACCCACTATGCCACGAGAGCTCTTTAGAGTGTGCTCCAGGCAACACTAATTCTTTGGAATATTAGTATGTATGGTAATTAAAGTAGTATGTCAATTTGGCTGGGCCATAGTTTTGAGAGGCTTGGCAGCTTAAGGTGGTTATTCCCTGTGTTGAGGTCATCAGTTCCATGGTAGAATCTGCAATAAGCAGCTCATTAGTTGCCTTTGGGGTGTGGCCTGCTTCCGGTATATATGGAGAAGCTTTGAGGAAAGTCTTGAGCTGTTTGACACATTTTGGATCATGCATTTGTCTGAGTTGTCATCTCCAGTTCCTGGACTTGAACCATTGATGTGCCATGTTGCCTGCCAGTCTTGGGATTGTGCCATTTTACTTGCTGACCTTGGGTTTGTCAGCCTCAGCAGCCAGCAGCTGCCTGAGTTAGGAGATGTCTCCAGTTTCACTGGGCCGGGAACAAGAGGCAGAGCTGAAGCCCAAGGTCAAGGGGCCTTCATCCAGCCCCTAGAGCTGGCACTCTGAATTTGGATTTCTAGCCTGCTAAATTGTAAGAGAATAAATTCCTGTTAAAGCCATCCACTTGTGGTATATCTTTTATAGTGGCACTAGACAATTAAGACAATACATGTTTCTTGAGAGACTTGTTCCTTGCTTAAATGAATTTGAAAATGGCTGATTTAAACAATTCTTTTCTGCAGGACTCTTCAGCTGGGTTGTTAAGCCAAAATATTTTTGAATACCTAAGATGTTAAGAGTATTAGGGCTAGCTCATGGGCTTGATTCTGCTAAATACGTTTTTGGGAAATGCAGACATAATAAGGATGATATTGCTATTTGAAGTTGATTGTTGTATGTATTTATGAAAGTATTGTTCTGCTCCTAGCTTACTAGTTTTTCCTTAGTCTGAGAACATACTTAACTTTCTCAATGCATTTCTGACATAACATTGATTTGGTCGTATGGTTTTTCTTCTTTGACTTACTGATGTTAAGAATTATATTGGTATATTTCCTAATATGTGGTCATCCTTACATTCATGAAACAGCCTCACTTGATCGTAAAATATTATTTTAATCTAATAGATCATATTTACTAGTATTTTCTATCATGCTTTAAAATCTGTTTTCTTAAATGAAGTTGACAGTATTCTTCTTTATTTTGTTTGTCAGCTTCTGATATCGGAGTTACAGCATACAAACTGAGATGCTTTAAATGTTTTTATGTGCATCTGGGGGTTTAAACCCACCAGTTGCTTCATGGAAGGAACATGGGGCAATCTGCTTCTTCAAGGTTTACCGCTTTGGAAACCCACTGGGGGTCGCTACAGTCAGAATCAATTTAGATTCTGGGTTTAGTGTTGGTTAGGACACTGAGCAGTCTGAAGATCGTTTGTGCTTTGGCACTTCTGTTTCTTTTTACTCAATTCTGCCAATTCATGTGATCCTGAAAACATGTCCATTTTTTACAGATTTCAAATCATAAATCAGGTAATAAGGGCACAATATTCCTCTTTGACTAAAGTGTTTTAGCCTTTTAAACTGATTAATCCTTTTCTGCCAAGAATCTTAGATTTAGTCGCACGGTATCTTGTCTGGTGAAAATTCTCTGATCATCTACTGTTTCTCTGTATTAGTTTTTTTTCTTGCTTTCTTTGCGTTAATTCGTTGTTCTCTTCTAACTTCTTGAGTGATTTTATTTATTTTTATCCTTTATTATTTTTTACAATTTGTATAAAAAATATTTTTTCCAGAATTTAAAAAATCTTTATAAACTGTTATAATTACAAATTTGTACATTTATCTGTATTATTATTATTATAAAATATTTCAAACAAAAACTAGTACAGTGAACCTCCACGTGCCCATAATCTAGCTTCAAACACTATCAACTAATGGCTAATTTTCTTGCTTTATTTTTTAAATCCCTTCGCCTATATCAAACCTGTCTTTTCATTATCTATTTTTCCTCCCCCCACCCCATGCCTGGTAACCAACAAAGAAAATTTCCTTCTCTGTGTAAACTTTTCCTTGACTTTTTACAGTAGTCAAGTTATACAATATTTATCCTTCTGTGATTGATTTATTTCACTCAGCATAATGTTCTTCAAGTTCATCTACAGTATGAGGTGATTCACTGATTCTTCATTATTCTTTAATGTTGCGTAGTATTTATTCCATTGTGTGTATGTACTCTAGTTTGGTTATCCGTTCATCTCTTGATGGGCACTTAGGTTGTTTCCATCTCTTAGCTATTATAAATAGTGCTTCAGTGAACATGAGTGTGCATATATCTATTCATGTCTGGGTCTCACGTCTTTAGGATATATTCCTATGAATGGGATTGCTGGATCAAATGATTTCTATCTCTGACTTTTTGAAGAAGGACCATACTGTTTTCCATTATTCTTTAGTAATGAAAACTTCTGAGGTACTGACTTCCTGTTCTGCAATTTTTTTTTGTCACTTTTTTCAAAACCCCAACATTTTGTTATGAAAATTCTCAAACATACAGGAAAAATTAAGTGAGTTTTACAGTAAAATCCATGTTATCATCATCAGGAGCCTATTTAGTTATTAACATTTTACTGTATTTGCTTTATCACATCACTTATCTACCTTGTTTATTTATTTGTTTTGATGCATCTTCAAGTAAGTTGAAGGCATAGTAACTTCCCTCCTAAATCCTCTTGGTACAATTTTGATGTGAGTTTTCTATTTTCTGAATAGTTTTACTTCATTTTTATTTTCTCTCTGATTCAGTAGTTATTCAGGAGGTACTTAAATTTCTGTTGGTTGAGTTTATGAAACTTAAAATGTAATTTTAAGATCTAATATTGTTGTGTTTTGTTCAGAGAATGCAGCCAGGGCTGTATATAGTAAGCAATTTTTTGCAATTTAGTGCTGCCGAGTCTAGCAAGAGAAAGGGACACTGGCCTAGGTAGGCCAGAGCTTTGAGTCGCAGCAGAGGTCAGTGTACTTTGGGGCACCCATTATGCGTTTTTTGCCTAAAAATAACTCTTCATTGGGAGGGACTGGGCATTGCTTTATGAATTACCAACCTAAGTAGGATATGAAGGTACGCTAAACCTAAGAACAAAAAGTGCAAACCAAGACAGTAATACTAAAAAGGATTTAGCATGATTTATTACACTCAGTGTACTATATCCTTAAAAAATGCCAATTAGAAATACAAATCCAAGGCAACACAGTCTTTAGATGAGTTTACTTATTTTTTAAAAAAGTACTTCGAATCCTCAAAAGTATGTGGAACAAGGAAAAAAATTTTCTTTTCCTGAAAGGATACCAAATTCTCAATCAGAGCTAATACTGAGTATAAAATGTTTGCATTTTGATTAAGATGAATGCTAACTGAATATAAAGGAAAAAAAACAAACAGAAAACCTCACTGCCTTCAAGTCTATTTGACTCATCGTGACCCCTCCTTGGGTTTCTGAGGCAGTATCTCTACAGAAGTAGATTACCCTACCTTCCTTCCGAGGAGTGGCTGGTGGGTTTGAACTGCCAGCCTTCAAATGCCTTAGGCACTTCGCCACCAGAGCATAGGCTAAGTGATCATTAGGCTATTTGGCTTTAGGTGAATTAACCGAGACTTGGGAGACTAGTAATAATAAGCAAGAGGACGAATTCTCAGGCAGACCTGAGGAGGTGTAATGGCTACACTGGTGGTAGAGGTGTTTTTGTAAGCTTGTATTTATGCCACTTGTACTTAGTGAGGCGTTAATAGTGAATTGTGAAAACTCTCTCTTTCTGCAGATTACGCTTCATGTCAGTAGAAATGGACAGCAGCAGTTTTATTCAGTTTGATGTGCCCGAGTACAGCAGCACCGTTCTGAGCCAGCTAAACGAACTCCGTCTGCAAGGGAAACTATGTGACATCATTGTCCACATTCAGGGTCAGCCATTCCGAGCCCACAAAGCAGTTCTTGCTGCCAGCTCCCCATATTTCCGGGACCATTCAGCGTTAAATACCATGAGTGGCTTGTCAATATCAGTGATTAAAAATCCCAATGTGTTTGAACAGTTGCTTTCATTTTGTTACACTGGAAGAATGTCCTTGCAGCTGAAGGATGTTGTCAGTTTTCTGACTGCAGCCAGCTTTCTTCAGATGCAGTGTGTCATTGACAAGTGCACGCAGATCCTAGAGAGCATCCATTCAAAAATCAGTGTTGGAGATGTTGACTCTGTTACTGTCGGTGCTGAAGAGAATCCAGAGAGTCGTAATGGAGTTAAAGACAGCAGCTTCTTTGCCAACCCAGTTGAAATCTCTCCTCCTTATTGCTCTCAGATGCGGCAGCCCACCACAAGCAGTGATCTTCGGATGGAGACAACTCCCAGCAAAGCTTTGCGCAGCCGCTTACAGGAGGAAGGGCACTCGGACCGAGGTAGCAGTGGAAGCGTTTCTGAGTATGAGATTCAGATAGAGGGGGACCATGAGCAAGGGGATCTACTGGTGAGGGAGAGCCAGATCACTGAGGTGAAAGTGAAGATGGAAAAGTCTGACCGGCCCAGCTGTTCTGACAGCTCCTCCTTGGGTGATGATGGGTACCACACCGAGATGGTTGATGGGGAACAAGTTGTGGCAGTGAACGTGGGCTCCTATGGCTCTGTGCTGCAGCACGCATACTCCTACTCTCAAACAGCCTCACAGCCGACCAGCGTATCAGAAGCTTTTGGAAGTTTGAGTAATTCCAGCCCATCCAGGTCCATGCTGAGCTGTTTCCGAGGAGGGCGTGCCCGCCAGAAGCGGGCTTTGTCTGTCCATCTGCACAGTGACCTGCAGGGTTTGGTGCAGGGGTCTGACAGCGAGGCTATGGTGAATAACCCTGGGTATGAGAGCAGTCCCCGGGAGAGGAGTACAAGAGGTCACTGGTACCCATACAATGAGAGGTTGATCTGTATTTACTGTGGAAAGTCCTTCAACCAGAAAGGAAGCCTTGACAGACACATGCGACTCCACATGGGAATCACCCCCTTTGTGTGCAAGTTCTGTGGCAAGAAGTACACACGGAAGGACCAGCTCGAATACCACATCCGGGGCCATACTGATGATAAACCATTCCGCTGTGAGATTTGTGGGAAGTGCTTTCCATTCCAAGGTACCCTCAACCAACACCTGCGGAAAAACCACCCAGGCATAGCTGAAGTCAGGAGTCGCATTGAGTCCCCTGAGGGAACAGATATGTATGTGGAACAGAAACTAGAAAATGATGCATCGGCCTCAGAGATGGCCCTAGATTCCCGGATGGAAATCCACACAGTGTCTGATGCTCCTGATTAAGATGGTAAAGAAGTGCACCCAAACAAAGCACATTAATCAATGCATATTTGTGATTTGCTTTGTTGTAATCTTTGGTTTGCCCCACCATCTGGAAATCTCTTGGTCTCTTGGCAGTTTTTCCTAAGGTTTCTGGATGGAACACTTCATTGTGTTTATCCTTTCTCCCCCAAGGAGCTCAAAGCATGAAGGGCATCATATCCAGGGAAAACACAGGCTCACAGTATTCCTCTCTGGCTGAACTCTTGAATCTGAAATCTGCCAGTGATTTAGCTATGCCAACTGGTTGACCCTACATTTTCTGCCAAGAGGCATACTCTCATTGTGTGTGCTGGCATCAGTGCGTTTACACCGAGAGAAACTAGGATACTGTCAGCCGATTCAAATGGGTAACCTTTTCTAATTTAAAATTACATTTAGGGGGTAGTTAGACAATTTATATATATATATATAATAAAGTGATTATTATATATATAGTATATATACATTCTCAAATTTGATTTTATTCTAGTTGAGGTGAATGTAAGAGGAATATATAATTTAATACAATGTGAACAGGGCTTTTGACTCTGTCTCATCTCTACCTAATATGTTAGGGTTTTGCCCCTTTGTTTCCCTTACAAAAGAATGTTAATGATTTTCATATATATTAATCATTGTGTCCAAAAGCAAGCAAAGCAAATCACAGTCTTCATAGCTCTGCTTCATAACAAATACATAAACCAAATGCCATAAAATGTATTCTAGTTGGAAAACGTTTGGAATTTTTGTTAGTTGTCCAGTTGGTGAGCTGGATGACCTGTGGTGCTGATCTTTTTACATATTGTAGTGTTATATTAGCCAACCCCAAAGGAGCAGTGATTTTTCAATGTTTTTACTGGCCTATGAATCTACCTTCCTTCCGTACTGTAGAAACATATATACCAGGTAACTAAATCGAATCACTCTCTACCACACATTAGTACTCGCACTAAAGGAAAGGAATTTGTAGTTCTGTCTACAAAATTCTCCAAGCAGTGTTGTGTTTTTTTCTTTCTCTTTGCAAACAGCCAGTTCAGGTGCACAGCAACTTTTTCTACATGCAGTTCCCAGGGAAACTGCAGAACTTGGAATTTGTACTTTTTGTAAAGATACATACACTCTATGGGAATTGCAAGCAATATCTCTATCTTAGTATTGTGTGTGCTAATGAGAGCCTCATTGGCTCCCCCACTCTCTCAGTGTTTCCTGCTTAAAGAAACCAACAGTTAAAAAGCCCTCTAAGAAACTCTGTGTGTCACCAAATCTGTGTGTGTGTCACCGTTTTTTGGTCATGTGGTGCTATTTTTACGTTAAGTGTCTTTTAGGTCAGTATAGTATAGAAAATGTGAAACCTAATGGTAATAGTGAATTACAATTTTTTTCCTCTGTTGAATTCATAGCTTGAAAAGAGACCTCAAAAGTATGTGCTGGCAAACATTACTGTATGAAAACTTACCTGAGTCCTATGTGAATAATGTTTTAGTAGTACCTTAGGAAATGTCTTCAGTTCTATATTTTGCTCACATGTGTGCATCTAGCATACAAAGCAGGCTTTACCAGATTGCTTTGGTACTGTATACTCTGGCAAAGAGTGATTTTGTGAGTAATTTGGTTGTGAGTTTGTGCTTTAGGCTGCTGTTGGGATGTCAGTGCTCTAGACTCTCTGAGAACCTTGGCTTTGAAAACTCACAACCAACAGTTCTCCATGGGAGAACAGCAACACCATTGGAAAGAAAAACAAAACTGAAAAGACCAACCTCATAGGCTATGAGTTAAGTTGAAAGAGTACAAAAAATAGACGTTTGCTGGTTTTCCATGCTTTTTTGGCTCTTAAAATACAAATAATGGTGGGTTTTTAGTTTTACTTTTTTTTTTAAGAGAAAAAAAAAATCATTGGAGCCCTTTGTGTGTAATAGACCCCTGGGGGGGGTAGCTGTGCAGTAGCGTCTCTTTAGCACACAGGATCTGCTCGCATGTGAACTGCTGCACTTACACATCAGTGTTACTACGTACAGATTACACTCTAACTCCTGCTGCTCCAAAGGAGTGGCTCTTGCTAAATCGGGTATATAGTATGCCTTTTTCCTCGTCAGACTGCCTAAGGAAGGGGTTTGTTCTCTCCCTGAAGCACTTGTTCAACTCCTGTTAAAGCCGTGTGCCTCAAGGGGAGGCCAGACCCCAAGTGTTTACCCACTTAAATATATTCTGGGGTTTCAGGTAAATGTTTGTGAATTCTTTTTCCTTACATAAGTTTGATTTTGATTTTTTTTTAAAGAATTAAGTGCAAAAAAAAAAAATCGTGTTTTGATACAAATTATATTTGTGACAAGAAATGCCCAAATCAAGGACATGAGAGGTCAGGCTCAGGGAAGGAACCTCCTTTTCACTCAGGCTTGGGGCCTTCTGAGAGGTCTCCAGAGCATTCTGCAGTATATGTGAAGCAAGTTAAGAGGGGAGGGCGCTTGGGGCGAGCACCTCGAATGTCCTGGTTCTTGTCATCGTGTCAGTCTTTAACCTTATTTACATGGAGTTCTTTGTACTTGTAAATTTGTTTAACTGGTTTGAGTTTACCAAAGAGTGACTTATCCAAAATTGTCTCTGACAAAAAATAAACATTGCTTTGATTGTACAGTTCAGGTTCATACATTGTAATGGGACTATTAAAGGGGCAGATAATTGATTGAGTTTCTCTCTAGTAATCATGATTCCACAGTTTGCAAGTTTCACTTGCTCCCATTCATGTTGCTAACACTTTACCCTTTCCACTGCTAGCAGTGTTAAGAATGAATTCTCAAGCCATAACACAGTACTGTAAAGTTCCGCAGGGCTTCGAGGGAGGCAGCGTGTAGACCAGCACAGAGCTATGTAGCCTTTCTGAGCGTTCATACCGTCATGCTTCCCAGTGTGCATGGCTGTGAAAGATTAACTCCATTCAACCGGGCAGCAGCAGTTAATTGTGCCTTGTCACATGAGGATGTGCCAGGAGGATTAACATGACCACAGAACAGAAACGTTCTCTCCCCGAAGTTCACTTCATGTCTCTGCAGATGAAATACGCTGTGTAACTCCTTAGAGCAACTCTTTTTGGAAAGCAAAGTCCCTATTTCTGTACAGTTTTAGGTTAGATGTTTCAATTATAACAGATGCAGAAATCAATTAAGATAAAGTGATATGTGAAGAAATCTTTTACAGTAAAATATATCCTGAATTCATATAGGCTTGTTCATAATTGAGTCTCTCCTTGAGCTACCTTTTCCCGACACGTAGACAATGTGAAGACAGTGACAGCGTCCTTTTCTGTAGTTGTTTAACCTGTTATTACAAACTGTGAAACAGAGAATTTTATACTTTTACTAATGTTTGTGGTTTTAAACAGTTACTTTTGTTCTAATCAGTTCGCTATCCTATAATTTCTACTACAGCTGTAAATACATTTAGAAATTATATTTGTAAATACAGTATCTGGTGACAATTTTTTGGTCAGCGGAAAGCCTCCCAATTGGCTCTGCTTTGGTTTTTTTTTTTTTTTTTTTTTAAACAGCAGAAAGGATACTGTTCAGTTCACTGTTAAGCGGAATATACTGTAGGAACTAAATTGATAGTTGTTCTTTTTTTTTCTTTTTTTTAAATAATCTTCCAGAGCATGAGTAGATGTCTTTTCTAATAATAGCAGTCATAACCAAGTCTTTGTTTTTCCCTTAGCCCAGACCATAGGCCTGCATATTTTTTTGTGTGTGGTTTATTTTTATTTTTGTTTTTAACTAGATTTTAGGAAGAACTTGCAGGAACACAAAGCAAGGGCTGGGAGAAAAACCATCCACATGAATGAGCTTTACTCTGAAGAGATCAGTGTATTTTATTTTAACAACTTTTCTATTAGTTACTGTGATTTTTATGTTGTCATCGTCGTTATTGTCAAAATCTGTAATGGTTTCCTGTGAAGCCTCCACTGAAAGGGACTCAAATATGCAACACCTAAACTATTTTCCAAGGGCACACGCCCCTTGAATGGTGCTTCTAGACTGGTCAGGGTTATTTATTAAATTTTATATATGAAAGTATTGGGGAATTGTGTAAATTCTTTATATGAAACTATCTAGTTCATAAATCATAGATTTCGTAATACTCAGTGCGACTGAACTAAAGGTTCAGAAAAGTCATTCACATTGTTCCAAATTTGTAATGGTTGTCACACATCACATACATCTTCTTCAGTAAGTGCCAGAGTGTTTCCACTGTTTCTGCTCAGTGCTTGACTTCTTGGTCCAGAAGAGAAGCTGTTTTCTCCGGTTCCCTCCCTGGGTCTGGCACAGACAGGGCTGTTGTCGTTCTCGATCAAGTCCTGGAGTGAGCCTCTCTAGGCGCTCTGTGTAGTGGATTCAGTAAACAGACCTCTTGCTGCCCCTCAGTGACAAGTATGCTGTGAATTCAACCTTTGGACTTGCTGCCCAAGCCTTTGGTTGCTGCCCTGACTATAGTAAGAGGTAACTTACCTGGTTTGTTTGAGAATGACCATTTTCCTAATGTGAAAACCATCTCTCTCACCACTTTTATTAGTAGGGCTAACCTTTTTTTCCGTTATAAATGGTTGAGCAATTTGAATGACTTAACACAGTGTCATTATCTTGCAATATAAACTGGTAACCTCACAACTCCACACTTCATCACCATATGAAGTAAATGAAGCTAGCTAAGCGGATGCTGTATCAACTAGTAACTTGCCATTAAGGATTATTTTATAGCATGACTTTTAAGACTATTTATTCAAATGATATTTTACTCTTGTATTCATTTTGTTTTAGATTTGTGACATGAATATTTCAGTGCTGCTTAATTTTGTTCTGATGAATCCTTGTTTCTTGCTTGTAAATGGCTTTTTTATGGTATAAATAAAGTCCATGGAAATTGCTGTTTGTAAATAAAAATGCTGCTAGAGCAAATGTGCTGTCGGCTCCCTCTGTGCTTAACCCCTCCTGGCCTCA